TTCTGACCCGTCTCTCCCCCACTGGGGCCCCTGTCACCTTCACCGCTCCGTCCCCACCCCTGTCCAACACCCACTCTGAATGAGAAGCAGACAGCGCCCCCCCATGCCTTGCTCTTGTCCTGCGAGCAGAGTCTGGGAACACGGGACCTTTAGAGCAGACGGAGATGGGAAGGCTCAGGCTGCCCCCCGCCCAGGGGACGCGCACCGCCACCCCCCACCTCGTCTGCTCTCCACCCCCAGACTGCGAGGGGGGCTTCTGAAGTGTGCCATCTGCTGCCCACTCCCTGCCCTCTGCCCTTGCTTTTTCTTGCCGTAGGGACTACTGGCTCTTAGCTGGCGATCACAGTGAAACAAAGCGTCCACGGTCTGCAGTGGTCGCATTCCTACACCTGGAAACTTGGTAAGTCGAGCAACTTCTGTTTATTCTCTTGAAAACAGAACAAAGAAAGGCTGGCTCTCAAACATTTCACCTGGTCTTGTTGGGGCTGGGAGGCAGGGAGCTGCGTAGCAAGCCCCCTGCCCCCTTTCCTGGACTCAATTTCCCCATCTGCTCCATGAGAGGTTTAGAGCCGACTGTCTGGGAAGCACCCCCTGGCTGCTGGCAGAGGCCCGGGCCTGGCTCGGGTCACGAGCCAAGAGAAGGCCCTTGTCCCTGCTGGGCTGCCGCTGCAGGGACACGTGGCCACAGGCACACAGGCGCACGCAGCTCCTCTGCAGACCACGCTTGTGCAGAGAGGGGTGCTACTTGGCCATGCGTGCGCACACCCGTACCCATGTGCACACACATGCACGCACTCAGACTGCGCTAAGTTGAGAAACGGGGACCATGCCCCCTCAGGCAGGTGATTACAGATTTAATTAAAAGTGACACAGTAAATAAAAAAACATATAAAATGTAATTTGTGTGGGTAGCGAGGGGTGACTGGGGAGGGCGGTGTGGCTCCTGTTTTAATTAGCGTGCCTGCCTGTGATAGTGCCTCTCGACTGGCTCGGGCAGGTGGCCTGTGGGTGGCCTGCATGGAGCAGCAGGGGGTGGGGGGTGGGTCGTCCTCCCTCAACCCTCCTGAAGCTGCAGACGAGGCCTGGATGACCCTAAGGGGGGATGCCTCCCCGAGGGCCTGGGGGATTCCTTGCCGGCAGATGCTCCAGCATGAGCCCTAGGATCTTCACTCCAGGACCCCCCAGCCAGGTTGGTTGGTGGGCTCCTCTCTCAGTGCTCATGAACGTCACTTGAAACCAGCCACACAGGGGCTTCCTATCTGGCCTCCTCCCCCTACACGTCCCAAGAGCATCAGGAAGTCCCTCCTTATATCCACCTCAAGGCCTTCTAGCTTCATTGTGTACAGCTACTGGGGTCCCTGGAGTGTGGACTCTCTGCCTCCCTCATGCCCTTGTCCTCAGTCCCTGGCTGGAAACGAGCACCCTGGCTCTGTGCTCTCCACTGAGAAGGGGTGCATACAGGGCTGTCTGTGAGCGACATGGGCCCCCTTCTCCAACCCGCGGGTGGGGCTGGGTAGTCTGTGTAGGGACAGTGTGTGCACATGCATACACACACCCAGGAGACCATGCAGGCCCACGGCTAAGAAGCTTGTCCCTTGCTGCAGGTGCGTGAGCGGCTGTACCCTGTGGGGGAGTGACTGCCTGTGGACGCCTGCAGGGAGTGCTGGGGGCAGACGGTGGTGCTGACCCAAGGGCCCCGGGAGCACTGGGTCAGAGGGCTGGGGCCCCGTGGTGGGGTGGTGGGTGGGAGCCTCTGGGGGCTCTGCAACTCACAGCCTTTGTAGATGTCAGTGGGGATCTGCACAGCCGCGTACGAATAGTTGACCTTGTTCTTGAAGTTAGGGTCCTCCACAAAGTCCAGCCTCAGGGTGCTGGCCTTTGAGCCCCTCTCCACATCCTCACTCTCAGGGTCATCCTGCAGAAAGTCCCCACCCCACCCCACCCCCACAACAGTGTCAGGGGACAGAGATGGGGGGGAGGGGCGGATCCAGACACAGAGAGGGGAGGGGAGGGGCCCCTCCCTCATGCAGGTGCCTGGTGGCTCCCACCTGCCTCTGCCCACCTTCCCATACTCGCTAAACCCAAACCACACTGACCCCTTTGCCCCACAGTGAAAAGCAACCATCAGCCAAGGGGCAGATCCGGTCAGAAGGGGCGGCTGGCTGGCTGATGAGCCATGTGCCCCTACAGAGCACCCCCTCCACACCCCACCCCCAGGCTCTGTGCCTTCAGCAGCCCCTCCTCTGTCCCTGTACCCCCAGCTGGGTACTCCCCTGCCCTATGTTCCTTTGGCACCAGGGACAGCAGAGGGACCCACAGACAAGAAGGCAGGGTACTGCCCTTGCAGTGCTTGGGTCCAGGGCTGAACCCGAGTGGGGGCTGTGCAGGGTGGGGCCAGTGTTAAGTAGCCTCTGGAGGGAGAGCCCACTGTGCTTGCTAGCAGCAGGAGAGCGAGGGCCCCCGTTGACTTTCTAAAACGAGCCGCAGCCGTCTGACAGGTGCCAATTATGGCATCTCGTCTGGGCATGCGCCGTGCGCCCCGCCCACCACCACAGTCTGGCAGGAGTGGGTCTCCGACTGCAGCGTGGATGCTGCAGCCGAGGGGGGCGGGCAGACCCGGGTGCAGGTGTGCAGGGGGGAGGGGAGATGGTGGCAAGAGAGAGAAGGGGGAGATGGGAGAGTCAGGCTGAGGGGGCACAGGGAGAGAGGCAGAAGCAGGGCAGGCAGAGCTGGGGGGGTCTCATGCCACCCTTCCTCAGGACCCTCATGACCTCTGAGCACCTCCAGCGCCCGGAAGCCCCTGGGTCCCAGGCAGGCACTTGGTCCCACCCCTAGGTGCTGGCTCAGGCTGCGCCTTGTCTGGGGAGACGGTGCTCTCTACACTGCAAAGGTGGCTCTGCCCCCACCCTCGGGCGCCAGCGGGGCTGCAGCAGTACCCAGCGGGACCTGCAGATGGCAGGCTTTTTCACCCCTTCAAGGGTGGATTCCGGGTAGCAAACACAAACCGCTTGTCCCCCCACCACCACCCCGCCCAAGTCTGCTGCCCTCCCTAATCCGGAACCCTTAATGCAGGGCACTTGGAAGCCCCTGGGAGGTGCGGAGGCAGGTAAAGCCAGTGCAGCAGCGGCAGACCTGCCCCGCTGTGCGGGAAGCCTGTGGCTCTGATGTGTGCGCCCCTCACGTGCCGCCAGCAGGAGAGGGAAGGGAGGGGAGGTGGGCACAGGAGAAGAAAACCCCTGAAATGTCAGCGGCAGATGAAGGGCGCTGGGAAATTTAATCTCCCAACTTTCCCAACTAATGTGACATTTGGATTCCGTTCTGATAAGCTATCAGCTGGGGAACTTTCCCCCCCCTTCTTCTCCCCCGCCCCCACCTTCTGGCTGGTAATTTAAAAGTAAATGGTCTAGAAAGAGCTCTAACTGTACCTCTGGCAAAGATTAAAAACAAAACAACTCGGCAAACAAAACAAGTGGGTGTACACGGGGCCTGACCGGGCTGGTGCTCAGCTTACTGACCTAGGCCAGCCCCACCCTGGGGGGACGCTGTGCCACCTGGCAGTCATGTCCAAGGGAGCGGGGGCCAGGGACCCAGCCACGTGGAGCCCGGGCTTGGGGATCTGGACACAGATTGGGGCCTGTAAGCGTTTCGAACGTCTTGGTAGGGAGACTGGATGGCAGGTGTGGGTCAGGTTGGCCACGTAGCCCTTCAGAGCCCAGGGGCTTTTACGGTGGGCAACCACAAGTCTCCTGGTTTATATTTAATGCACTGATTGCTAAAATTGCAGCCCGCTGCTGAGTGGGGGTAAGGAATTAGATTCAGGGTCTAATTAAAGGTTCGCTCTTCATTTGAATTTCAGATTCCAGCTTTAATTTTAGCAACTTCTCTCTGGGAGCCACAGAGGCTCAGCCAAGGGGAAGCACACCTGCTTAAGCCCACCCGCCCCTCCTTCTCAGGCCCCCTGCCCGCTTGCCCTCCCAAAGCCTCACTCAGCCCAGGGCCCTGCCAGAGAGAGGTCTTTGGGCCTCCCCACCTCCAGCGTTAGGGGCACCTCTGACTGCCCCTCACCCCTGGAGCACCCCCCGGCCAGTTAGCCTGGGAGAGGAAGCGGGATCCTGGGTTTTGGGGCGGGTGAGGCACTCCAGAGGCTGAGCTGTCGGGAGACCCCATGACAGGGGGCAGTGCCTTCGAAGACAGGTTCACCAACTCTCCCCACCTGCGCCCAGCCACGGGCACCCCGCCCCGTAAGCAATGGTCGGACGTCTTCTACCTGTGCCTCTCTGGGGTGATGAGGGCTATGTGCGGGCTGTGGAGGCCCAGCCAGCTGCCTCATCTGGGGAATGGGCACATTAACCGGGCCACCCACCTCTGCAACCAGGATGGCACCAAGCCAGGCGGGGTGGAGGTGGGGGGTGGTGGTGTCTCGGCGCACGGCAGCTGCCTGCTTTTCCCTTTGGTAAGAAAGGGACCTACGCTGGCTTGGTGAGGCACCTGGACCCCACAGCGCCTTGTGCCAGAGCCCCGTGCGCTACCTCCAGGGCCCCCTCCCCCCCAACTGCTGCCCTCTCCCCAGCTCTCAACGCCTATGGACAGAGAGCGCCTCAGATGCTGGACCTCTGTCAACTGGCCTGGGGGTGGGGGTGGGGGTGGGCATTGGGGGGTCAAGGAGGGGGCTGGGCCTCCCCCCCTGTGCAGTGAAGCCTCACCCTCTACTGGTGACCTAGACACAGTGCTGGGTGAGGGGTAAGAGAGAAGTTGAGGGGGGTTCAGGGGTGTCTGTTCACCACGACCCTGCAGGGTGGGGCTCAGGTACAGCTGAGGCTCTGGAACCCAGAGAGGGAGTGTGGAGCCTGCAACAGCACCCCCC